CCTCTCCATTTGGAAGTTTGTACCTAGAAGTTTTATTCCCTCTGATAGGTTAGTTGCTGTTGTTGTGTGCTGATTGACTTCCTTGGTTTTCAGAGTACAATGTTTTATGGTCTTATTTTGAGTTTCTATTTCTGATTTGGTTTTAGTGTTAATACCACTTATCCTGATTTTGTTGATCTCTGTTGTGGGTTCTCTATTGGAAGAACTTCCTTAAGCATTTCTTGTAGGGTTTGTCTGGTTTTTATAAATTCTCTTAATTTCTGTTTGAGAATGCCTTGATTTCACTCTCATATTTGATGGATAATTTAGCTGCATATAGGATTCTTGGTTGGAAGCTCTTTTCCTTCAATATTTTATATATGCCATCCCATTGCCTTCTTGCCTGAATGGTTTCTGCTGAGTAATCGGAGCTCAGCCTAACTGTTTGATTATTATAAGTAATATTTCTTTTGTCCCTGGCAGCTCTCAAAATTTTTTCTTTGTCTTCAGTTTTGGAGAGTTTGATTAGAATAATATGCCATGGTATTTTTCTCTTAGAATTTATCTTGTGTGGGGTTCTATGAGCTTCTTGAACAAATATCTTTTCTTCTTTCATGATATGAAGGAAGTTTTCTCTTAACAGGTCTTCCACAATTTTCTTGGTGTTTTTTTTTTTTCACGTCTTCTTTTTCTAGGATTCCAATGAGTCTTATTTGGTTTCTTTTTATGTCATCCCATATAATTCTTAGGTTCTCTTCATTTCTCTTAAATCTTCGTTCTGATTTTCCTTCATACAGACTGGTGTCCAGGGATTTGTCTTCTAGTTGGAATATGCATTCTTTGGCCAGTTCTAACCTACTCTTTTGTGCTTCTACTGTGTTGTGCAGTTCTTTAATTTTAGTATTCATCTTCTGGATTTCTAACTGCTGTTTTTGTATGAGTTCTGATTGTGCGTTGATCTTATTATTTTGTTATTGAATGATTTTCCTGAGTTCTTCCAGGGAACTGTCTGTATTCTCCTTATTTCTCTTTGGAGTTTCCTTAGGCTCTTGTAAAGCTCTATAAACATGTGTTCTAAATTCCTTCTCAGATAATTCTATTGTCTCCCCTTCCTCCATGTATAATGAGACCTTTGTTTGTGGTTTAGCTTCTAATGTCTTGTCCTGTTTTTTTCTTTGACTTGAGGTTGCCTGTTGTTTCCTAGACATTTTGAGATTGTCTTTAACTGTTGTTTATGTATTGATTTCTTTTGTCTTGGTTTTATGGTTTAATATTTTGAACAGGTGAAGCTGGTATTTTTTTTTTTTTTAGTTATTAATTCAGGTATGCTGGGTTGTTCTGAAGTTTCCTTTGTGATGGTGGAATCACTGTGTGGAATGTGGATATGGGTTTCTATTTGTCGTAAAGAGAGTTTAGGGTTTGAACCAGCAGGTTTTATGTTGGCTGAATGTGGTTTCTTCTATTGAATGAGTGAAGTTATTGGTGGAGAAGGTAGGAGTGGAAGAAGGAAAGCTCACTGTTGCTAGGGGTGGTTTCTAAGGCTTTGAGTGGGCTGCTACTGATGACGTTGTACTGTTATTTACAGGCATGTAGCTCAATTTCAGCAAAGACTCCAGTTGTTAGAGGGTTGCCACTTTCCACCAGGCTCAGACACATGCAAAACCCTGTTCTCAAGGCCCCTTGGCACCAAAAAGCCAACCCAAGACAACTTCCTGGCTCCATGATCTGCCGTGGGGATTTCTCTGGCCCCGCCCACCCATGGTGCTGGCCCAACCAGCCCAGACTGCCATCTGCCTCAGGAGTTCCTCTGGGAGTCCGCCCACCCGTGGTGCCAAAGATCTGCTCGGTTTCAGCAGTGCTGGAGTTGGGAGAGTGCCTGCTAGTAATCTGTGGTCCCAATATTACTGATAAAGTCAAGCACAGGCCTCTCAGTGCCACTAAGCTGACCCAAGCCTACTCAGTGACCCACTGTGGGGGGATCAGGCCCACCCTTCTGCAGCACCAATGGACTCTCTGCTTGGGTTTCAGCAGTGCTGGACATCCCCATTTGCACC